CCTGTTGAGGTAAACCAACCGGATGTTATTATACAGATACCAACCGGACGATAATAGAAAGGAATCCACTTCTGTTAATAAAGAAGAACAATGTAAGAACAATCTTGCCCAAAATTTGATACCAGAGAAGGACATTAAAAGTATGATAGAACAACAGGTGAAAGAAACCTTGATACAGTCTAAAGGCGGTGCATCAATTCTAAGGGGTAGACCATATCCTGAAGAATTTGACACCGTGCAATATCCCAAGGGTTTTGTACCACCTCTTTTTAGAGCTTTTGATGGAACAGGAAACCTTCGACAGCATGTGGCACATTTTCGTGCCAGTTGTTGCAACGCAGGGGGAAATGATGCTCTACTCTTCCGACAGTTTGTCAGTAGCCTCTCATGAGTGGCATTTGATTGGTATGCAGAATTGCTAAATGGATCCGTTAAAACGTTCATGGAATTAGAAGATCTCTTCATTAAATGATTTGTCGGGGCTCGACACCATATCACTGTTGGTGATTTAGTGATCAAGAAACAAAGAACAGATGAAACTCTAGTGGATTACATTCTGCGTTGGACTAACATTCTGCGTTGGAGGAATTTAAGCATGAAATGTGAACCGTAGCTTCAAGAACAACATGTGATTGAAATCCTGTTAAAAAGTATTATTGGACCAATTGCTTTCCTCCTCCAGGGGTTCACAATTAAAACTTTTGAAAAACTACTCAGTAAAGCCGGAAGTCTTCAAGAGGAAGCTAAACAACTTGGTTTCATTGAGAAATTTGAAAAACAGAGACCCGCAAAAGTCTTCGAGAGAAAGGCCGGGACTGTTGCGACTATTGATAAGGGTAAGCAGCCATTGGAGATAAAAGTTAAACAATCACAACCAAGCCACCAGCCTCCTCAGCAATACCGTGCACAATCATCCCAACAGAGGACTTATCAGACAAATAATAGATCAATTTTAACCCTGATAGAGAGTTTGAACATAGTATATCCTTTTAAAGATGAAGCAGTTGGTAAAATGTTTCGCAATCTGATCAAGAAATCGGGATTCAGCTTGCCAGAACCAAAGAAGCCCGATGAGGATGATAAGAAGGATCACCCATTATATTATCCATATCATAGAATGATTGGACATACTCTGGAGAATTGCTTTTCTTTCAAGAATTGGTTGCAATATAATCTCAGAGATGAGAACATAACAATCCCAAAAGAGTATATGAAATAACCTGGACAAGGTTCAATCAATACAGTTTTAGTTGATCCTATTGTTCCGATCGATTCTTACGCAGTCAAAGATGGGTAGAATACAATTTGGACAAAGTCTTCAAAGAAAATACTGAATGAAATTCAGAATACTTTAGTACAAGCTACAATTTGAGATCAAGAAATTGTTAAGCCAGTATTGTCGATTACGATAGAAGAAGATTCGAAGAAGACTGAAAAACCCATCGAAAAGCTGAAATGAGAAATGAAACTGAAACTCAATCACCCGAGATTAGTTGCTACGGATTTGGCGATAAATCTCTCAAACCACTGACTTTGTATGATTTCTTATTTGCTCCACCAGGGGCACGTAATACTATGGAATTCGACTTTGGCTACGTTCTGACTGTTTCTGTTGATGGTATAATTGGGGATGACCCACCTAATCCCGATACTAATCTCAATCTTCCTGATGATTTTTAAATCGTACAGACTTCTAACACATGTGATGGTAAGCCAAGAGGAAATATTAATGATAATCATTATGATTCAGAAGAAGATGCGCCCATCTTTGAATTTCAGGGATCGCCGATTGCGATAGAGTTGGAGTCTTCGGATTTACGGATTTAAAAGGAATCCCAGTTACTCCAGCTCATGTAGAGGCAGTTGCAAAATCAAGTCATGATTCAGAAGAAGTGACAGAAATAAATTTGAGAAGCGAAAAGGTATTACCTTCGAGAACGGGTCCAAAGGATGCAATGAAACAAACAATTATTCAGGTGTATCCAGTCCCACTGATCGATGAAATACCTGTCCAAAAGGGAGATGAGGAAACAAGCATTAAGGTGGACTATAATGTACTAGCCCATCTTAGGAAATTACCTGCTAAGTTGAGTATATACGATGTCTTAGTCCTATCAAAGGAAATGAGAGAAGCTTTAATAAAAGCTTTGCTAGATCCAGAAATCTGTTTAGCTCAGCTTGATAGTACTTCCTGCTTGATAGTACTTCCTCGGATATAGTACTTCCTCGGATAAGGTTTGTTCATTAAGAAAATAAGAAAAAATAACATTCACAAATAATGATTTGCTACTTGGGACTGCTGATCATAATCGTCTGTTTTATATTTCTGTCAACATCGGTAACTTCATGCTCTAAAGAGTATTAGTGGATCTAGGGGCATCCATTAATATAATGAGTTTACGGACTTTAGCGTATTTGGACATAGACGCAAGACAATTGATTGCTGATAAGATGATGTTAAGAGGCTTTAATCAGAAAGGGAAAAGAGCTCTTGGATCAATTACATTACTGATGAAAATTGGAGAGTTAGTAACAACTACGAAATTCCATTTCATTGACTCTGAGACTTCGTTCAATGCTCTCTTGGGCCGACCCTGGATTCATGTGAAAAGTTTAGTTCCTTCGTCACTACACCAATGCATAAAGTATTGTTTGGAAGGACAAGAATATTGCATAAAGGGAGATCTACAACATTTTTTGATTCATGAAATAGGCATTCATGAATATGCCAATTACTATACTCCTCTGAAAAGAATGTTACGCTTCAAGATGATATTACAAGAAACATATAAAGGGTCCAGGGGTCCAGAAGATATACAAAGACAAGGTCATCCGATACTGATTCAACAATATTTTATTACACTTTTACAATAAGAGGGTGAGAGTTCCTCTAGAACATGTATCCGATGTCGAGGCCGGTGACGAGGTCGCGGAAGGAACGATAAAATTGTTGAACAAAAGAGTCCAATCATCAACATTGGTTTGAAAGATAGTTCTAAAGATGAAAAAATAAGGAAAAGCGTAACGACGATTAACCAGAAGAAACCTCTTTTCGAAATTGATTTAGAAGACAAAGAGAAACGTAATTATGGTTCAATGTACGATCGTATTAATCGCTATGTACAAATTATGGCCCTCACTCTGATTTCTAATCATAAAATTAAGGGTCAGATGCTCAAAGAGGTACATAGTTCAGGTATGAAAGCAATTAAGTTTCATCGTGGTTCTTCATCCTCTAGTTCTAAAATCAATGTAGAACTAGAAAATGAGCTTTCTTCCGAGTTAATGGGATTACCTGTTGATTGGTACTTGCCTTGTGTTTAAAATCTGGCTCAGCGCGGTCTGGTAGCTAAGAAATGGTTGAAAAATCAATCAAAATACTTTGAGAAACTTTGAAATAATGATAATCAAGCCTTTAATTCCAAACAAGGTCTTGGATTTGGCATAGTAGGGCCTGTTGATGATACAGAATTTTGCTTAGTTGTTACTAATGGACATGAAAAATATTGTTTGGAAGTTCTGAACAACTATAAAGAGTCTACAATTGAGGATGCCCCACCTAAATTCGAAGAAGAGATTAAATCAACAGTATATGAGTTACAAGAAATTAACCTTGGTATCGAAAAGGAACTGAGGCCAATGTTTATTAGCTCTCTACTTGGTGAAGAAGAATCTATAAATATGATTAAGCTGTTGACAGAGTTCAAAGATTGTTTCGCTTGGAGTTATGAGGAAATGCCCGGATTAGCGTCGGAAGTTGCAGTACATAAACTGGGCCTAGATCCTATAGCTATTTCAGTTAAGCAAGCTTCAAGAGAAATGCGTCTTGATATTGAAAAACAAGTTATAAACGAAGTCAACAAGTTAATAGAAGCTAAATTCATACAGGAAGAACAATATCCTACGTGCTTGGCTAGTATAGGTCCAGGTAAGAAGAAAAATGGAAAAATTCGTATCTATGTGGACTTTAGAGATTTGAATAAAGCAAGCCCAAAAGATGAGTTTCCTCTTCCAATCCCAGAATTGATGGTGGATATTGCATCGTCTCATGAAATTTTCTCTTTCGTGGATGGATCATCTGGGTATAATAAAAAAAAATGGGAAATCAAATAAAAATGGCTCCAGAAGATAAAAGATTTACAACTTTCCGAATGGAAATTGGAGTTTATTGTTATACTGTAATGTCTTTCAGATTGAAGAATGCTAGTGCAACATATCAACGAGCGATGACAAGGATCTTTGATGACCTCATTCATAATCAAGTAGAATGTTAGTAGAATGTTATGTGGAAATGTTATGTGGATGATTTAGTCATCAAAAGAAAGCATAAAGAAGATCAATTGTATGATTTGAGAATTGTCTTTGAACGGCTACAACAATTTAACCTTAAAATGAATCCCCTAAAGTGCGCATTCGGTGTGCCTTTTAGGAAAATTTTAGGGTTTGTTGTTCGTCGCCGCGGGATTGAGATTGACCCGGGTAAGATTAAAGTCATCTTGGAAATGTCACCCCCTAAAAATTTAAGACAATTACAATCTTTTCAAGGGAGGCTGGCGTATTTAAGATGCTTTATCTCTAACTTGTCAGGTAGGTGTCAACCTTTTTTTGTGTTGACTAAAAAGGATGCAAAGTTTATTTGGGATGATAAATTTTAACGCTCTTTCGAGAGCATTAAGCAATATCTAACGACACCTCCTATCTTGGCAGCGCCCATTTCGGGCAGACCTTTAATACTTTATACCGCAGCTTTGGATGACTCCCTCGGAGCTCTCTTAGCCCAAGTCAACGATAGAGAACGCTTTTTATTACTTAAGCCGCCGTTTAATTCTAGCAAAAATGAGATATCCTCCAATCGAGAAACATTGTTTGGCTTTAATTTTCACAGTTCAGAAACTCCGTCATTACATGCTTTCTTACAAAGTCAACCTAATATCAAAGTTAATCCATTGCAATATTTAATGACCCGACCAACGCTTTCTGGTAGGTTAGCAAGATGGGCCATGGTATTATTGCAATTTGATATAACTTTTGTTCCACTTCGAGCTGTGAAAGGACAGATTCTAGCAGACTTCCTCGCAGCACACCCAGTACCGACTAGTTCCCCTCTCAATGATGATTTGTCAAATGAACAAATAATGGATGTAGAAAATTCCAAGACTCGACGTTGGGAACTATATTTTGATGGGGCTTATTCAGAACAAAAGGATAAAGAATTGCAAACAATAATATCTGGTAAAGCAGGGATTGGATTAATTATCATTACACCAAAAAAGGGAATGTTAAGGTATTCTTATCATTTGACGGAACCGTGCACAAATAACGAGACAGGGTATGAGGCATTGATAACAGTGTTACAACTAGCAATATCAATGGGTATAACTGACATTAATATTTACGGAGATTCACAGTTGATCATTGAACAGGTTGTTGGGCAATACAAAATTTTGAAGAAGCCTAAATTGGAACAATATCATCGTTATACAATGAAGTTATTAGAACAGATTCCAGATGTGACAATATGCAGAATCCCAAGTGGAGAAAATACTCTCACCGATGCTTTGGCTAAACTTGCCAAGGAATTCGCATGTCCACAAGAAGATTCCATTAAGATCACTTTTCAAGGACTTCAGGTTTTGTAACAGATTGATGTAGATACTTTAAACAAATTGGGTAAAGACGAAATAGTAATGACAGCTACCGAAACTGCAGAAGACTGGTGTCATCCTTTCACAGAATATTTACAAGCAGGAAAGCTGCCAGATGATAAGTCAGTAGCATATCAAATTAAAAAGAGAGCACTATCTTATGCTTTAACAGATAATGTTCTTTACCGAAGGTCTTTCGACCAAATGTGGTTAAGATACTTGAATGCTACAGAAGCACAAGAAATCGTTAAAGAAGTACACTCAGGACTTTGTGGCGCTCATCAGTCAGGTCCGAAGATGAAAATGAAAATTAAAAGACGAGGGTATGACTGGCCCGCGATGATGACCGACTGTATGAAAATCGCCAAAAGTTGTCACCAATGCCAAGTACATGGAGTGGTCTTACATCACCCCCCAAATGTGTTACACCCGACAATTACGTCATGGCCATTTGAATGTTGGGGCACAGATGTACTGGTCCTATAGACCCTCCATCTTCAAAAGGACATCAGTTCATCCTTGCTGCTACCGATTACTTCTCAAAGTGTAGAAGCAATACCATTGAAAGAAGTAAAAGCACAACATGTCTTACAGTTCTTCAAGAACCAAATTGTCTATCGTTTCAGAATACCATGCAAAATTATCTCAGACAATGGGTGTGCATTCAAAAGCATGAAGATTAATAATTTTGTCAGAAGACACAGAATTGATTGGAATTTTTCTACAATTTATTATCCGAGAGCTAATGGATTGGCCGAGACATTTAATAAGACTCTCGTCCAAATTCTAAAAAAGACCTTAGAAGGAAATAAAAAGAATTGGCATGAGCAGTTATTAGAATCTTTATGGGCTTAAAGAACTACGTTCATAACTCCAACCCAGTGTACACCTTACACTCTTATTCTTGTCTATGGGTCCGAGGCTATGTTACCTTTAGAAGTTCAACTTCCTTCTCTCAGATTTGTCGTTGCCAACAAAATCACTACTGAAGAAAATGCGGAAGAACGACTGGAAGAATTAGAAAGTTTGGAAGGAAAACGATTGGTAGCACAACAAAATTTGGAATTGTATCAAGCCAAGGTGATTAAAGCACATGACAATATGGTCCGCCCCAGGACTTTTAAAGTTTTTGATTTGGTTATTGTCCTTAGAAGACCTATCCTTGCACATCTCAAGATAGGAGGTAAATTTGAACCAACATGGGGAGGACCGTTCGTGGTTGGAAGGGTTTACTCTGGAGGAGCCTACCAATTGTTAAATTGCCAAGGAGAACGACTTATGCTTCCTATTAATGGATGATATCTGAAGAAATACTATGTGTTATAATGTCTCAAAAGAGCAAACTTTAGAAATAAAGTCTATTTCTTAGAAGCACCGATGTTTTAATTGCAACTGGGTCCGAACATAAATTTGTAATAAAAAATATTTGAAAAAAAAAAAAAAACTAATTTTGCAATATAGTATATATATAAAACTTGATATGTGACTTCTTTTTTTTTATTGTTGTTTTGTTTCTTTCTCCTTGCTTCTTTCATGTTAGTTTGATCTTTTAAATATATATATATATATATATATATATATAAACTTAATTTAATATGTGTATACAGGTATGTATATATATATACATAAATATAAATTAAGATATGTACATAGAAAAAAAGATATACATTTTTGTTACATACATGTATATAAATATATATATGTTTATATAAATCATTAAAATATAAAAAAAAATATTCATATTGTTCTTGCTTAAAAGCCCAGTTTGACATACTGATTGTTTTCCTATTTTAATACAGGAGAATGTCAGAAGGAAGACTGATCTTCACATTCAAGAATGACATTGGTTTTTCCCTTGATAAGACAAAATTTGAAGGAGCGGTGGTTGAATTTGATTTCGGTGGTTGAATTTGATTTCAACTTAATTTGATTTCAACTTCGATCAAATCGAGCAAGATTACGAAAGCTCAGCTTTAACTGTGGTGAGCAAAGATGTGTTTTATAAGCAGAATCCTGTGCTAAAATTTAAAAATAAGAATCAACTTGTTGCTGAGTAGAAAAGGAAATTGGAAAGAATTGACGAAGCTGAATTAAGCAATGCTGCGATTAATCGGATGAAGTCAATGATAATGACCTCTAAGGGCGAGCTTGTTGGTGCTACTCCTACAGACGATCAGTCGGAAGGTAAGGCAACACTTACTCATACGCAGAAGAGGAATCACAATCACCGTCACCGTATCCACAAGATGCTAGAACAATTGATAGAACAAGGGGAGGATAAAGATACTATTGCTTAGATGGCGATCAAATTAAAAGGGAAAACCCTAGATCAACCAGTTGAAATGTCACCTCAACCATGAAAATTGGAGGAGGGGTGATTTTCAAAGAAGAGAGATTAAGGAAAGAATCATGGAAGTTGAACCTTATATTCTCCAGTTTGTGAGCAGGACACGTCCTTTGTAGATTATTCCAGAGCACGAATTTGAGAAATATGAAAAGGTGAGAAAACAAAATTTTGAGCACTTTCAAGGGTTTCAGGGCAAGTATGTTAATATACTTGAACGGTTGGAACTACACACCAACGTGTTCAATAGTAGTGAACAGGACGACATTGTAGAACGTGTTTTTTTGGAGCAAGAAATGGGACGCGTTGGTCGACTAAGAAGGACATATTCTGAACTGAGAAAATGGAAACGTGGTAAAGGAAGGGTTACGATCCAATACGGTTTTTGTTACAATTTTGCCCAAGATAAAGAAGGAAATCCTCTTGGAATAATTCGTCACGATGAGGTTGACCCGTTACCATCATTCATCAAGAGGATAATCAAACGATTGGTGACCTAGTATATACTTCTAGCAGATTGTATCCCAAACAGCTGTATGGATAATATCTACAAAGCTAGTGATTGCATTCCTCCACACATCGATCATCATGATTTTGTGAGGCCATTTTTGTACGGTATCATTTATAAATAAATGCAACATCATGTTCGGAATAGAAATTCAGAATATTGGTGATGGAGAATTTTAGGGTTCTATAGAGATTCCTTTGCCTGTGGGCTCTGTGTTGATATTGAAAAAAAACGGCGCTGATGTGGCCAAACACTGCATCCCTAGAGTGTCGTATTCGAGGGTTTCAATAACCCTCAGACGGATGAATGAGGATAAGATACCATTCCGGTTCATACCTAATCTTAAGATAGAGAACTTGCGGCCTTTTGAGTTGTAAGTTGTTTAAAGACAACACACCTCAATATATATCCAGGAGAGATCGTTTCTATTTTTCTGATGATATGTTAGAAGGTGAGGCTAGTCTTTATACAAACTACTATTCAAACATAACTGTCGATGACAAAATAGAATTAGATGATACACAAGACTGGATTCAATCTGCGTCTTCAGTATGGATGAATAAGAAAGTATTTGGATATATGAACTGTACAGTAATGATTTCAGAGGTTTTTTAGATTACATGAAATCAAACAACATTATATTCGACATCAGATGCTATTCAGGATAAGACAGTTTGAAGACAATATATTGGAGCTTCTTTTCGCAGTTATGAATGCAGATTTGGGCAATTAATTGAGAAAAATAAATAAATTTGATTTGCCCTAATTCTGAGAAAGGCTAGCGAGCAAAAAATGATATATATATATATATATATAAATAAATTTATAAATGAATAATCATCAATATGAATATATATATATATGTATATATATATATATATATATATATATATGTGTCTGGGGTTTGTGTATGTGACATGATGTCTTGTTCTTAGAAGCACCGATGTTCTAATTGCAACTGGGTCCAAACATAAATTTATAATAAAATATATTAGAATAAAAAAAATCATCATGAAAATTTAAAAGAAAATTTTTTCTCGACTATTCCCTTTCGTCACAAATTGATTGTTTCTATATCCCCTTGAGTTTAATTTCTTCTCTCACAATATTGCAAAACTTCACATGCTTCGACATTCTTCCTACACTCTCATTTTGGGGTCAGTACCTAAATTTTGATTCCATCTCTCTGAGGTCGGTACCTAAATTCTGATTCTCTTTTTGAGGTTGATAGCCAAATTTTAACTCTCATTTTGGGGTCAGTACATAAATTCTGATTCCCTCTCTGTTCCCTCTCTCCGAGGCCGATACTTAAATTCCGATTCTCTTTTCGAGGTTGATACCCAAATTTCAACTCTCATTTCGGGGTCAGCACGTAAATTTTGATTCCCTCTCTCCGAGGTCGGTAGTTAAATTCCGATTCTCTTTTCGAGGTTTATACCCAAATTTCAACTCTCATTTTGGGGTCAGTGTCAAAATTTTTATTCCCTCTCTCCGAGGTTGGTACCTAAATTTTGATTCTCTTTTCGAGGTGGATACCCAAATTTCAACTCTTATTTTGGTCTTATTTTGGGGTCAGTACATAAATTCTGATTCCCTCTCTCCGAGGTCAGTACCTAAATTTTGATTCTCTTTTTGAGGTTGATACCCAAATTTCAACTCTCATTTTGGGGTCAGTACCTAAATTCTGATTCCCTCTCTCTGAGGTCTATACCTAAATTCCAATTCTCTTTTCATGGTTCATACCCAAATTTCAACTCTCATTTCGGGGTCAGTACCTAAATTCTGATTCCCTCTCTCCGAG